AAAAGTTAAAAAAAATTTGCAGTTATTTCCATATGCCCTACTCTGTGTTTGAGATGGGCAAAATTCAGACATTCAGGAGATGCTCTTACCTGATTCAAACTGTTTCACAGTTCCTGTGGAGACTGCTGAGCAGCTACTCAGCTTATGTTCCCAGGAAGTAGCAGAGCCCTGTTCATATTTACATTCTTTTAGTTTTTAAATTTGTGCTATTTTTTAATTTAAAGAATTCTTTATGCTGTAGAAAGCTTTATTCCATTTGGTCCAAGGCTTGGGAGAGGGCTTCAGGGTGGTTTGAAAAATATATTCTTTTAAATAAATGGAAATAGATTGGCTTGGTGTACATTTTTCTAAACACGTGTTTTATTTATATAAATTGTATTATGTATAAAGGTATGCAAATAAGTAGATATGTATTTAGTAATTAGGATCATACCATCCATTTTCCCAGAGTTTATTTTTGCCACAGATCTTGTGACCATGTGTATATCTATTTCTGGATTCTATTTTATTTAATTGGTCTAATTGCCTCTTTGGGTTTTTTGGAATTGAGACAATGTCTCACTTTGTCATCCAGGCTGGACTATACAGTGGCAGAATTATAGCCCAGTGCAGCCTCAAACTCCTGGGCTCAAGGGATCATCCCATCTCAGCCTCCTGAGTTGAGTAGAGGGGACTACAGGCGCATGCCATCACACCTGGCCAATTTCTTGTGGAGAACGATGTCTCACTATGTTGCTCAGGCTGGTCTTGAACTCCTGGCCTCAAGCAGTCCTCCCGCCTCAGCTTCCCAAAGTTCTGGGATTATGGGTATGAACCACTGTGGCCAGCCAGGTCTAATTGCCTATTTTTAAGCTTTTACTCTACTTATGACGTCTTTCATTTTATTTTATATTTTAAAAAATATTTTTAGCTGTGATTTTGTTGTATACTTATGTAGTCTTAATTAGTGTACCTTTGTAATGAGGCGTTATCTGGTAGTGTCTGCTCTCAAACTTTGCTGTTTTTCAAGAGCAGCTTAATTTTCTTGGCCTTTTTTATTGCTATATAAATTTTAGAATTGGTTGTCAATTTCCATTAGAAAAAACCTGGTAGGATTTTATGTTGGAGATTGTATTGAACCCCAAAGGGTTAATTTGGGAATAGTTGATGTCTTTACGATAGTTTTCCCATCTATGAGCATGATATACATCCCTTTATTTAGGATGTCTTTAATTTCTCCCAGTAATACTTTGTAGTTTTTTATGTAGAGGTATTGTACAATATGGGCTTCCTTCCACATTGGACTTTAAAATGTACTTATTTCTTTTTTAATAGTAGTTAGTTTAGATGAACCATAAGTATTTTTAAACTTTTCTGAGGGTATTGAAGACTATTTTAAATCCTTCTGTATTAAAAATAATGCTAATGAAAATCCTTGACAAATGTATAAGCTTGAGACCTGATGATAGCTTCTGGTTAGGATCTCCATGTCTTTTCTTACTTAGCTGAACTAAACCCTGCCTTTGTCTCTGTCTCTCTCTCTCCCTCTCCTTTGCCCCCTCCCTTCCCCCGTGTGTGTGTGTGTGTGTGTGTGTGTGTGTCTCTGTCTCTGTCTGTCTCCCCTGAATGTATCCTCTTCTGGACCATTCCGGTGGTCCTTACCCTGAAGCTGGAGTGAGCTGTCATCCTCCAAAGCTTGGAAGCCTAGAAGCCCTCTCTCTCTTACAAGCCAGTGGCCCCTCCAATTGTATACTACAGTATTGTAATTTTTTTTTTTTTTGGAGACCGAGTCTTGCACTGACACCAGGCTGGAGTGCAGTTGTGTGATCTCGGCTCACTGCCACCTCTACGTCCCAGGTTCAAGTGATTCTCCTGCCTCAGCCTCCCAAAGCTGAGACTACAGGTGCATGCCACCACATCCAGCTAATTTTTGTATTTTTAGTAGAGATGAGGTTTCACCATGTAGGTCAGGATGGTCTCGATCTCTTGACCTCATGATCCGCCCACCTCAGCCTCCCAAAGTGCTGGGGTTACAGGCGTGAGCCACAGCACCTGGTCCAGTATTGTAATTTTTAAAGATAGATTTTACTTTCCAGTTTTGTGTTATCTCTACTTAGAAGAGATGGAGGAGGGAGGAAAAGTTTGTAAATTACCTTCTTTAGGCAAGGAAGGGTATTGTTTTCACTTTCTTATTGCCCCATCCACTTGGTATTTTAGAGTAGCTCTGTCATACCACCATACCACCAAAACCAACAATTAAAATGACAACACAAACAAGTGAAGAAATGGCGTAACTTACAGATTACTTCCTATGTACAAGGTACTAATCAAAGCACTATAAATACTATACCTTATTTTAAAAGCCAACTTAGGGTCAGGCGTGGTGGCTCATACCTATAATCTCAGGACTTTAGGACACTAAGGTGGGAGAATTGCCTGAAGCCA